ACACAAATTGAATGAAGAAGTGACTCATCTCACAACTCTTCCGACGTCTGTTGCTGCTTCGCCGCCTTCACCAGATGGAACTCCTCCTGTCGGCCGTAGACCCATTGCCATCCCTCTTCCTCGCCAGCCCAGTACACGTCCTCCTCCAGGGCAAACCAAAGGGTCGTGTTCCTCGAAGGTGCGTAATGCTCGACGAGAAGCTCTACACTGAACCACATACTACGGATCGCAGCCAATTCGCCAGCCGCCGAGACGTACTCTTGCATGTTGGTCATTCCTATGCGAAGTCAGCACCGCACCAGATCAACGGTCTTGTAATGGAAACATGTCGTCTTCTTACCGATAAGAGGACCAGCAGAATGTCCCCAGTCCCCAATTGGGTGTGAGTAGACCCGTCCCTCAATGCCCTCGGCGTGCATCTCTCCCAGCGACGCCTTGAGCATCTCGTTACCCGTCTTACCGACAGCAATGTTTCGCCTCACGATATCTTGAAGCTTGTTACCCTTCTTTAAGCCGTCCTTCAGATCTTGAGGCACATCAGTCTCGTCGGGGCGAAGCACGTATCCGAGATGCTGCGTATCTGTGTTCAGCCCCATAGCCGTCAACCCAAAATCAACATGGAGCATGTCCCCATACTGAATGACCCTGCCTCCCACATCTTCATCAGCAGTCGTCTCCAACCTCATAGTCCAAGGCAGCGCCTCATCGACGACGCTCACACTCGGCTGAAACCACGTCGAGAAGTTGTGCGCCAGGATCTCCTCCCGGAACCACCACTCCAGGTCCCCCGTCGTCGTCTTCCCCGGCACGACAACCGCCTCACTGAATCCCTTGGCAATCATCGCCCAAGCCGTCTCCATGATCTCCCTGTACCGCGGCATCTTGGACGTGGGCTGGGCCGAGATGAACTCGACGGCGATCTCGGGCTTGACGACCATGCGCGAGGTCCACTCGCCGCCGAGCCCGGAGGCCATGGCCTGATACTCGCCCGCGTGCAGGCCGCTGGCGAAGGCGATTTCCGGGTGCGTGTTGACGGCGATGGTGGCTGGGTTCGCGGCTTCGAGCTGGGATTTGAGCGTCGCCCAGACGTCTGCGGTCCAGCCTATGATGCAGCCGGGTTGCTGTGGGAGGGTGGCGGTGGTGGTGCCGTCAGAGGAGTTGGTGGAGCCGAGGGGTTCAGCGAGGAAAAGGCAAGTTGTGCGGCGCCGGGCGGAGAAGGTTGATGCCGGTTTGAGGGACCAAAAGACTGTTTCTTCGGCGTACTCCCGTTGGCTTATCTACCGCTCGTGTCAATACCGCCGTCTTGTGAAATGAGGGGGGAGTGAGCGAGAGCGAACCAGCCAGGCGTCGACGCCGTGTTTCTTGAGGAGGGCGGGGATGCCCGCCTTGCGCTCGTCGGTCCAGGCATCCTGGATGCTGGCTTGCTCGCGGAGGGGCGGGAGAGAATTATATTTCGGCGTTGGATCGCTGGCCGCCTGTTGACAGAATATAGCGGCGGCAGAGAGTAGTGATATGAGCCAGTGCATTGCGGATCTGCAAATACCTATATCGATCTCGCGGGCGGAGTGAGTTGAGGATGAGTGAGGTTGAAGGGAGGGGTGATGAGGTTAAAGATAGGATGGAGGATGTGAGATCGGATGACGTCCCGGATGCCCCGTTTAAGGAATGCAGCTCTGAAGTTGAATTACTTGAGCGCAATGCGGTAGGTCGTCTAGTCCCGGAAAGGCAGCTCGATGATGGCAACCTTGGATCTCACGCTGCATGGATGCTGATCCCCGCCCTCGGTGAGTCTGTTCACCGAGATCGGGCATTACATCGCGCGACAAGGGGTCGAGATTATCGTACATAAACGCCCGCACTGAATCAACTCGTCCTGGGGTTCACGTGCGGGAGAGTTCATTTCATTGCTCAACGTGAACGGCGTAGTAGAAGTGCAAGATTGTGTGTTTTGATTGAGGCTTTTTGCTCCAAAATTCTTGCGAAAGTCCAGGAATTGAGGTGTGTTCTATCTAGTTCTATATAGAGGGGTATTGGTATTGTACATGAAAATTGCCAGTTGAAAATCATAAAGCGTCATAATGCTATCGTCCCTGAACTCATGCATTAAAATTGTGAATGTGGCTGTGAATGCCTAGTGAAGTAAACATGAACAGGAGAAGTGAAAATTCGACACCAAATTGAGACGCTCTATTGGAGTATGTGTCAGTCATTTGCACGAGAACGAAGGCTGACAATGCTATACTCACGAAGTTATGCCCATGTTTGAGACTAGTCGAGTCTGATGCGTCAACTTGTGTCCAAGATTTGACTGAGCCTAAGGAGATGTCTTGCAGTCGTAGTCGCAGTTTTCCAGTGGGTTAGAGACGTTCGGATGTTGACATCTTGATGTGTCCCAGCTATCGCAGTCGATGACCCGTTCACACCACTCCAGCAACAGCTAAGCTGACGAGAGCGAAGATAACGTATATCAAACCGTTTTGCGAGAGGTTGGATGCCCCAGAGTCATTGTCACTGGCTGTGGATTGAGGACCACCTCCAGTCTGCGTGGGTGACGGGCTCGGATCGTCGACGTGGAGGGCATTCGTGCTGCCCGTCCAGGCGTTCCAGTTGGTCAAGCCGCCAGGGCATTCGTTTGCAATCTTGCGCCCATCGATCTTGGCGATCTCGGTCCCGTACTTGGTCATGGTGATGACGACGTCACCGGTGCCCAGGAAGGGAATGCTTCCGTGGTACACCCCCTTGCCGCCATCAGGGGTCGAGGTCCAGTTGCCCTTCTGCGCCTTGCCTCCGACGGAGACGGTGACCTCTGCTGCAGACGTTAGGAGGGCCGAGTAGAAGATCTTATCACGGACAACCTGGGCTGCCGTCAGGGTCTCTTGGTCGTGTGTGACTGCGTTGGCTATGGTACCGCCGTCCTTGCAAGAGAGGGCGGGCGAGCCGCGGTACCATGTCATAAGGGCTTCGTCCTTGATCGAAGGGGCCACGGCGGCTTTATAGCTGTCGATGAGGTAGGGGAGGAAGTGGCGCCAGCCGTCGTGGGGATGGTCGAGGGCGTAGTTGAAGGGGGCTTCGCCAACTTCGAAAGCCTCCATGGCGTTGGTGCGGACCGGACCGATGTGGTGTGATTCGCCGTAGTCGTTCCAGGAGATGATTTGAACGAAGCTATCGATTGTCAGTTACTCGAATGATAAGAGAGAGACAATAGTTCTTGCAAAATTGACTTACGCAGGCATCACATCCATCACCTGGTTCCAGCGATCGTACCAGAGGTCATCGCCGCGCCACACCCAGTTCTTGTTGTAGCCAGGGAGGTTGGTATAGAACCAGGGGGATACGGGCATCATGTAAGGCTTGCCCTTCAGGGCCCAAGCATACGCAGCGTCACTCTTGTCAGTCATGTCCTGGTCACCGATTGGCCACGCGTTCCAGCTGAACAGCCCATCAGCAACGCCGTTTCCTAGTGCCAATGCGTCCTCGGGCGACACGGAGGACCAGTCGGGGATGAAGAAGGCGCCTGTCTTGTTCTTGATTTCGATCCAATCCTCGGCGTTCTCTGTGCCCTCAAAGGTCGAGGCGAGGGGCTTGTCGGCATACTTGAAGTACTCGTCGAGCTTGAAGTACTTCTCTGTCATGTCCAGAATAGTCTCCTTGGGCCAGGGCTTACCCCCATGGTAGCCGCCGTTGTAGTCAAAGGAGAAAAAGAGCTGGAATCCAACATTCTTGGCGGCGACGAAGGCAGTCTCGAGAGACGAGTTGGTGTTGGGGTCCGTTAGACCCATGTTAAGGGCGAAAGCGTCGATGTGGGCATCCTTTGCTATCTTGAAGTCATCTTCAAACTCGCTGAGGGTGTAGTTCTTGGTGTTGATGAGCTGGCGAAGTATGTTAGCAGCTGAGACATCAGACGATGAAGTCAAGGACCTGGTAGGGATGCCAGCATCAGAGGTGAACATACCATGAAGTGGGCAAAGACGGACGCCGCTTGTACTTGTGTAACTACGGCCAGGAGGCCGGCGAGACAGGTGGTGAATTTCATCGTCACGGCGAACAAGAGCTTGCGTGACACGCAGATCAAGTCGTCGATGTCAAGTGTGATCGACACGGAAATCAGAGTTTACAGATCTTGCAGGAGAGCCACAATACCACATGAGAGAGACCAAAGGCCACGGCCGCTGCATTATGTATCGTGGCCTCCTTCACTTAAAGAGGGGGCCATGTCAAGTATGGCTCGCATATCTACCCATCACGTCGGTTTCTGCCTTGCGAACCGGTCAGGGCGACCACGGTACCGCCCCTCTGGCGCTGTACGCCATTGTCCACGATGACCCCCTGGCATGGCGACAACCTGACTCCATCGCGAGATAGGCAGGTAGGCCAACGGTAGGCGGTACATGCGGCTGGAACTACACGGCCTCAAACTCCCACCGTCAAACAGACAAGCAGGGGGGGCCTGCTCGTCTCGGACAGGGTTACGAAGGGCGCTTGCCTGATAGGGCTACGTGAGAAGAACAGGGGGTGAGTGCTTTGTGAGACGCCGTTGGATGTGTCTCTGGACAAATGGGCTGTGTGGATATCGGTCTCCAACGTCTAGAGTGGTTTCTCTGTCTGCTGTGCCATTTTGTGTCTCTTGTGCCTCTTGTGCCTGCTGTGCCGCTGGACGACGGCGCGAAAAGATGCAGCGGGCCAAGCCTGATGATTTGGATAAGGCCGCTTTTGCCGTGGGAAATTGCCTCGCCCGGCTCTGCTTACTCTGCATCATGAGTGCGATCCGAAGAGTTCTTGCTGGCGGTGAGGGAAATAGCTTTCGCGCGGCGTTTGATACGGGAACGTGAGTAAAAAGGTGGCTGTAAGAGCTCGTGTACGTTCGTGAAGTTGGCGCGATATGTCATCCAAAGTGAAGCCCATCGAAAGCTTCTGTTCCTTGCGTTGATCGGATACGAAGTCGGGAGAGATCGACGGCAAAACACGACCCGAGAAATATTCCTGGAGACTGAACGTGGTAGATCTGCTCAGCGGTACGGTGTTTCGGGACCCTCTGGGCCTCTTGTCCTCCTCCTCCAGAGACCCATCTTTCCAACTTGGCTTTTTGCTTGAACCCTGCCAGGTTGCTCGCCCGACATCTTAAGCTTGTTGAGCCCGCCCAGGGCCCTTCAAGACCAATCATCCGGAGACTGCCGCGCAGCCGGACGTCATGCCGGATCCTACACTAGCGGCTTTCCGCTCACCCATCGCGACACTCACGATCCCTGTCATCTGACGGCCTACACGTGCGGAATCGGCCGAGCGGCCCCTGTCCGTCACATCAAAACCGCTCGCCAACTGACTGAGTAGATAGCCTAGTAACGGTCTGCCTAACGCAACCTGCAGCTGTGCCTCTAGATTTAAGATTAAATAAGCAAATGCTACGGTTGTTTACAGGACAGGTTCCGCTATTACCCAGGTGATTCTAAAGAACCGTGCATTGTCGGATATCTCACGTCCAGGGTAAGGGACTGTATCGGCAGCAAGGGTTCCGTGATGGATACACGTATCTGCCCACTATTCCCAGGCAGCACCGGGCAATATTGATGTCTGTGAGTCTGTTTAACCATGTTGTAGAGGGGCCGCCGTTGCTTAGCCATCTTTTGCAAAGCTTGGCTGTAGTCCACCTTCGTGTCGTCCGTGGCGCCTCGTAGTCGCAGCCAACCACACTGTTGAGACCCGATCGAAACATTCAAAGAGTAAGGGACGTGCATACTCGAGAGGGAACCAGCCTTGTGGGGGGCTTCCTTCGACGTTGAAAACGAGAAGATGTACGGATACCGGAGCCGGCAACGTCATCGGCGGTGGGCTAGTTGACAGTAAGTGTATCGGAATCCCGCCAAATCGCATACACGGAGGGCTGTTTAGTGGCTCTCGTGGCAGCTGTCAGGCTATTTCAGATCAGCAAAGACGGATAACCGGCGGCTTGGGTACGGTTTGCACCGGGCTGACGAGACCAAAAACCCCATCTGGGCGTCGCGCTGGTCTCAGACAACGTGCGCTATCGCCGGCCAATCGTCCGGACTCCCTCCGAGCTCCTTGCGACAGGGGTTTCGTGCTGAGCAAGTCGCACTTCGCACTTTGAACCAACCACACAACAGACAGAGGGGGGGCAGAAAATCACACCAACACTGACATGGATGGATTCTCATGTCGCTGGGCTGTCAGCAAGATATCCGACCACCTCGGTTATTCATTACCCCGGGGGCAATCACAGACGCCAAGGAAAGAGGAGGAGGATGACTGACTGTATGAGTCCATGGGTACAAGACAGAATCGAGGGGGGGAAAAGAGGCCAAAAGAGCAGAGCAAAGAGAAAAAAAAGACCATGTTCCAACAGCATGATCGAGAACCTTAAGCCGCCCTGTCCCCTGACCCTGTCCGAATCCACTGTTCTAGACCCTTTGAAGTTGAGTTGCAGCGAGTTGCAGTGACTTCAGAGCCACCGATTTGGCCCGCTCTTTTGCGTCTCTAACCAGAAAGCGAAAGTCGTTCACCAGTCAATTCCCAGCCGCTCCTGTTGGTGTCTGTTAGAGCAAACGCGCAAAAAGGCGGAGTCTCGGCTTGTAGATCCGGATAACCTGTTTAGCCAGGCGAACCTCAACGGTCACGTTATCACCCCAACAGACATAGTTTTATCCATGATGCGCTTCATCTTTTGCAATTGAACACTTGTAGAGCCATGACTTCTGCGCTCTTTAACATCACTGTGGAAGTATCCGAAAGACTGCGTTTTAACGTACTACCTTAGATTGAATTGCTGGCATTTCAACTGCATTGGATTATCCCATCACTGAGTCTAGGACGACATAGTAAAATGTTTGTAGTTTCCAGCTAGAGGCTTGGTCAACTGGGCCCTCAGCTCGACAGCAGAAAATGTCGGCAACTAATCAGCATATTGTTTCTTCATCATCCAGTCATATTTCCTGGTCCATTGCCTCAATGCTCAAATTAGCTGTCTCTGAACTAGAAGTTGGTGCCATCATAACCAGTTCCATCGCCGCGGCCACTTCCCGCACGGTTAGTGGTGACATCTGGTTGAGGAATCACCTCATCGGCGTATCGTGGAAGATCCGAAGGGTTGCTAGGAATGGTCACCTCATTCGTAACGACACTGACCAAAAGGTTGTTGAGGTTGCTCCTGGCCTGGAGATCACCATTGGGCAAAGTGACACGCCAATGGAGGTTCTTCTGCAAGTAAGGGATGACATGCTGCGGTGCAAGACTATCGATCAGGCCGGCAACATATCGCTCGACGAGAGCGAGAGTGAGAGGGACCTGGCCGGTGATTCTCTGTCCTGAAGCACGGCCCTGTTGACAGTTTTTGCACGAGGTGTTCTCGTCTTGGCCGAAGGTGGCAAAGGCACCGACGTGAGAGTGGTTGGTCACATACAACAAGGGAACCGAGTCGTCGGGATTGCCCAGGAACACGTGGACAACGTAGTTGCCTCCGAGTTCAGCCTTTTCGGCCTTGATGTTGACAAGCCATTCGAGGTACTTGTTGTCGGTACCAATCAAGCTCTTCAGGTCACGATCCTCTGGAAGACTGAATACGTCTAGCTCATTGGCCTCTTGGAGTGGCTTTTGATCATCTTGTTCCGCAGCCAGCGAGAAGGTTGAGGCCGAGACTGGAGAGTTCTCGGCCTTCAAATGTGCCTTGGCACGACTCTTGAACTCCTCGGTGGAGGATTTGAAGTCTTCATCGCCACTTCTCAAAATGTTGGCAAATGAGGCGGTCTTTCCATACACACGATCCAGCTCGTTGAGGATGGACTCCTTAGTGGGAAACTTCCAGGACTGAGTCTCCGGGTAGACGTAGCCAAACTCAGTGGTGTATCTGACACCCTCGGACGTCCAGAAGACTTGACTGTCCTTCGTACCCAACTGGGCAAATGGAGCCAGCGGGGTTTTGATCGTCTCCGGGTCACCGGCTTTAACGATGAAGTTACCCCAACTCTCGCCCGCACGTTGGTCAGTCACATAGGTCGATGGATCGTTGGGGTTATCGTGGCAAGCTTGCCAGATAGCGAACAGCCGGTCGACATTGGTGTGATGGAGCCAGAAAATGGGGTCAAACGCGGCAATTGCTGGGTTGCCCATGTGCCCACTGCCTCCAGAGTAGGTGTGGATGGCATTATGAATATCTTCAATACTCCCCCATTCGGCAAAGTTGGGCTGACCTGGTTGCTTCGGAGGATTGAATCGATTGTGGGACGCAGATCCAAAGTCACGATACGACTGAAGGATGAAGATGACACGCTCCGTCAGGTTCTTCCCTCTTGAAGCCTGTTGAGGGTCTGTTCCAGAAAAAAACTGTGTCAGTCTCTGAATCATCCTGTTGTTGTTGGGCTGGTCAGGGTAGCGAATGGTGCCTCCGACCCTCGGGAACTAAGAGCGCCGATCAGCATTACGCATACATAGCGATGGTCTAAAGATAAAAGTACCTGATTGATGCTCGTATTCGTGCGCGACTCTCGGAATTTGTAGGTTGCCAGTGGGTTTGGGTCGATACGAGAATCCTTCTGGTTATTATGGGGACGCTTGACTTGGACCCTAGCTTGGGATGTAGCCTCTGCTGGGAAGACTCCAAGGTCAGGTCGAGCCCAGTCCCAGTATGGCATTCTGAAGTCTTTGGCCGCCTTCACATAGTCGCTTCGACGCTCATTCTCATCAAAGTCGTTGGCAACAGCGTTGACGTGCTTGTATAGCTCGGCCTGAGCCACGTTAGAAAAGGTCACTTTGACGGTGGGTGTTAGAGCTTACCTCGAATAGAGCGAGATATGGACGGTGCCAAGTAAGAAAGAGGATCGAGCTATGAGTGCAGAATCCGCCGAAATCATTGTCGACTCTGACCATCTTGTTGTTCCAGTCCCTGTCTGGCCATTTCTTGTACGGAAGCCCATGAATACCTGCTAAAGTCAGAACCTTGCAATCCTCATTCCATACATTTTAGCCTCCAGTGCATTAATCTGATCGGACGGGAATGTCACAGTGTATAAACAACGATATGGGTGCCATTAAGAGCGGGATTCTGTAGCTCATCTGGCCAAAAAGCAAAAGATGACTCCTCGTCGGAGTCGGGGAATACTTGTTAAGTGACAAGCAGATATCCTCGCCGCCAGACTATTGGGGGATTGATGCATGTTGACGCAAATTAAAAACTTGTACTTGCCTGCAATCTCGAAGAAGGAGAGAGGCGCGCTCTCCGGTACCGAGTTTTGGAATCTCTCCAAGCCCAAGAGATACAAATTCCACTGATCAGGATGGTCCTTGATCATGTCGCGCACTTCCATGCGCACGGGAGGTTTGGCTTTGGGACGTCAGCTATGAATGACAGAGGCGGATTATACCAATTGTCATGAAAACATACCTGGATTGTCTGCCTTGATGCCGTGGACAAGCACGGGTCCTTGAGTTCCATCTGAAGACATCTTGAGAGTGAGTGAGTCTGATGATTGGTGATTTAGGTATGAAATTGTCACAGATAACCCCGGAGTGGATGGCTAGTAGACACCAAAAACATGGATTATATATGTATAGCTGTTACTCCGGAAAAATCATGCATGTTTCTATGTACACAATATTGCGACACCTTTGCCAAGTTTCAGGCAGAACTGTTGCCTGTAAAATATCCTTCAGATTCGTAATGGTGGCGCATATCAACATAAGATATCTCTTCTTCGGGAAAGAAGCCGGAATGACAGAGTAAGCACGGGGCTCTCAGCCAGCCATGGCGTCTCAGCTGCTTTCGGTCTTGCGGCAATGGCCCAATGATAGATTTACTGGAATACTCACCGAGATTACGGGCAGATACGATAGGCTGCTTTCTAAAACATTGAAAAAGTATGTTTCTTAGCCTGCAGCTTACCTCGGGATCAATTTTGGTGATGGACTGTTTGTCAAGTTGTTCCTGCTGATGTCTAGGCCAAGACTTATCAGCTTTGGGGGTGTAAGCAAAGGCTGCATATGGAAAGAGCAGGTGAGATGTCATCATCGGTGGCTTGAAACTTGAATTGACAGGAATCAAAACATGACTTCGGCGATACCCCAGTTAATGTCCTCGTCACGCCAAAATTGAGGAACACGGTCATTCAGAAATAGATTTTGCGATCAAGCATGAGATATTCTCAATGATTTTCTTGAATTCCGATTCTCTACTCGCATATTCGTAAACTTGTGTTGCGGAGTCATAACTCAGGACTTGATCGGCTCAAGTTTGCTAACATAGGCACATGCACATGCATTGACAGGTTTCACTCATATAATACAAAGACGAATTTATTCAAAATTGAGAGTAACCTCATGAAACTAAGTAGATAGAAAGCTTCTGATCCTATAAATCAGGCGAATGAAGGAAGAAAAAGACAATGCAGTCGCGACATCAAGAGAAAGAGCGAGTAGGTGAGTTCGGTTATTTTCCAATGCAGCTGCCGGCATTGGGATCGGAACTATAAGACACTTGTTAAAGAGAGATCCTCTGGGGTCACTGTGAAGATTGGGAGTCGAGGACGAACTTACATGTATTGCCAATTCCAATAGGATGTTTTACCTCCTCTGTAGCAACCATAGGCCTCCTTCGACAGCCCAGACATGCACTCGGCTTGTCCTAAAACTCGTTTGCCGGTGTTCAAGTTCTATGATCGTATTGTTAGAACACCTCGATTGAAATAAGAAGCACAAAGCAAGATCCACTATGCAAGACATCGCTGCGTATCCAAGTACCTTAATGGTAAAGTCCCACTTCAAGCCGTCCGCCTCCTGCATGCAGTATGTTCGACTCTCCTCGCCAACGAAAGACTCTTTGGCTGCACCGGCTATAGCCATGCAGGCAAGAGAAAGACGGTCCGCGTTCAAGGCTAAAACCTTCTGCTTGAGCCATGTGCCATAGTGGCCGATCATGCCATTGGGGAAACAGTCGGCATTGACACCGGAGCTGGCAATCGCCATAGCGGCAAGGAAAGCAGTGGGCTTCATATTGATGAAAGTGAAGTTATTGAATCAAGAATGAGGGGGTTTTCTCAATGAGATGAGTGGATGAGAGACACATTTACAAAGAGAGGTGACATAGGTCAAGAACTTATATAGATACGAGTGCTCACTACGTGTACTCGGACTGATTCGAGATAAGTTACTCCTGGGGTAGTGCTATTCCAGCTATTCTTAGTTTCGGTGGGATGACTGCGCCATCCGAGAGCGACCATCCCAAGCACCAGACTAACTAGAATGTGCAGACGTTTGTCGCCTCGATCTCATGGTGCGTGCGGAGTTGGCCAATGCTGATATCTGAAGTATGTTGTCGCATCCAAAGCAGAATATTTCTTTTGCTGCCTGATGTTCAATCAATCATGAAGCAAGACCAAGGAGATATCCTTGACGCTGGACCTCTCCTGGCTCCAAACATCTTTGCTATGATGATTGTCGATCTGGTGATAAGCTGGATTGGCAAACACATGATTTCGAAGCCCACAGCAAACCAACCTCACCTAAATGAAGGCATAGTCTTGACTAAGCAAACAGCCAAGTGTTGAATTTTCTTTGTTCACAGGTTTCATGGCTTACACGAACGAAACTGTCGTTCTGCCAGTGTTGTCTGCGAGATTTCCTCTCGACTGTTTGCCTCAGCTGCGTGATAGATTGCATTCCTGATTGTTAGCACGATGCCTAGTAAAGTCATATTTGCTCTTCACTACCTCCGACTCATCTCGGCATACATATCACGAGATCGTAGGCCAGTTTGCACGCTCAAGCCAGCGCGTGGCTTGAGAGGTTGAGGGTTACTTCTTCGATTGCAAACTGTTTAAAGTAAACCTACCCGCCGTGCCACAAACTATTCCGGGACCAGGTCTTCGTTTTCATCCCTTCACTCGGAACTTCACTGGAAGATGAAGTTTGTGTCACTACATGTGTAACATGTCAATCTTAGAGGCAAGAAAATGAGATAACACATCAACACCAGTATTTCCTGGATGCTTTCAACCTAAGACAACATAATGCATACACGGACAAACAACGCTGTTTGGGTGTTGACTCCATATCTCATGGCCATCGTGTGTCGTCCGGAAATGCTGTTTTCAGGTGTGTCAAATCCTCGAACGGGAAGAGAATCTGATTTTCGAGTCCAAAATAACTAGGTATTCAAGAGTAGGCGTGCGAGGGCGCAGAACTGGAGACTGAACACACAAACTGGAAACTTGAGAAACCGGTGTCCCTTCGGTCTTACCTCAGCCAGCGGAAGCTTACCGACTGAAGCATCTCTTTCTAGGATGAGGTTATCGGAGCTACGACATCAGACGTGAAACCTCAACTATATAATAAACCCCAGTTCCCACGAACCTTGAGGTAGTGTCACAACAGAACTGCAGCATCATCTACCTCTTTACCAACATTACCTGTATCACCCGATCTCTTCAGAGAGTACAACATGCAGTTCTTCAAGATCTTCATTTGCAATGTCTTGTGCCTCTCCCTGGCACTAGCGGGCGTCATTGTCGACGGTAGTACCCGGAATATCACCAGTGATACCGAGGACCAGGAACTCAAGAGAACCGTCCCTGAGCCAGCCATTACCATCACAGACAGCGACGAAATGCTGATGCTCGACTCAATGAACGCTGGAAGGGCTACTTTCGAAAGATTGCTTGTCGAAACTGGAGAAAGGCAAGATGGCATCTCAAACTCGCGACGTGATGTTGAATCACAGTAAGTAAACCAAGTGTCTAAGAGAGGCTGTCAATAGCTCTAGTCGAACCTTGTTTGCGAAGTAAAAATACTGACTCGCTCTTTTCCTTGGGCTCACTAGAACGACGGACGTCGAGATCCGTGAACTTGCCCTCAATCTCACCGAAAGGGCAGATCTTGTAGCCATAAGTGACTCATTTGCCTGCTGCGTGAGTAACTCCATTCTCTTGGCGTGTCAAAGGCGCCACATCAGCTATGGCACTTCTCATTGTAATCTGCTCGCCTCTGTTCTCGACAGAAGCTTTCCATGAATCATGACATGATGCTGCCTCTGACTAACACCGCAACTAACAGGTCACCTGCGTGTGGGCATGTAAAGTCGCCATCGAGAGCATGCACCTTACCCAAGCAAAACAGTTCCACAAGTGAGCCAAGTTCAACATATATCTACCTAGGATCACATATGAGAATATAGTGCTGACGCAGGTTTAGATGTTTCTGGTTGGAATGTTTTGCTGGATCACAGGCCTGTGCGAACCATCTGATGGATTGGGCCAAGTATGTTGGTGGCGGTATAGATGACTTCCCAACCGCCGCGCAGTTCGCACAGGCTTGGAAACAGGTTTGGCGTCCAATGTACGAGCCACTCAATCAGAAGGCGATTGAAGAATAATAGTACTTCGCACCAGTCATATTCTCAACAGGGCGTCAGTTTGCCTATGTGAGCTCTGTAATATCGCGATGCAGAGAACTGTTGAAGTGGCTCTTGCGGTAGTTGATGTCGCGGTGCGATAAGTAATAGGATTTGGCAGCACGGAGATCGTCAGCTTTCAGTGGTTTCATTAATACGAGATTCGGATTTGTTATAGTTTCGGCTCTTTGAGAAGAGTAATTAGTAGCAATTGATGCCAGTCTCAACTTGGCATATTTACCGAACTCGAGGGCCGCGATGGCAGTTGCTTCACCTTGGATGTTAGATGATAGGTAACATACTTTGCTATATAGATGATTTCATCAGTAATCAAGCTATATCTTTACATTGTATCAAGTTGCAGGACTTAGACTAATGTTACGATACGGAGGCTCAAATCAAGATCCAAGACGGACTGGTTATTTCTAGTATCAGACTTTCGAAGCCGCCTAAGGCTGCGAAAGAAATAGGACTTTCATTGCCATTTAGATCTTTGCTCGTTCATCTACTATACAAACAGTGAGCCCGTACAAGTACCTTACGTCCACGTAGTCCCGCGTGGTGAAGTCAAATGACCCATGGATCGACGGCGCAGTCCACGATCAAAAACACCAACGCTGTTGGGGCGAATCATATGGGCCGCCAAGTTGTGAGATCCGGGAGAAAAGGTCTTCGCAATAAGCACATACTGTCCCCAGCGGGCCGGAACTTCTAATAAGTTCTCTTATCTTAGCACAACGTTCAGTTTACTGCCGCCAAGTTCAAGAACATTGCCAGAACCCCACAGAGTTGTGCCTTGATTGCGGATCTAACGAGGTGAGGAGCTGGCCTCAACCAGGATATTAGGGTTGGCTGCTAGATCCCCAGGCGAGGAGCGATTACAGTTATCTGCTAGAAATACGCCGTAGACAAGGGACTGATGCTCCCGAGACTGTCGACGTGCTCAAATCGGCGCCCCAGTCGTCGATGTCGTCAGCTGCCGCCGGGAGCGGACCGGCGGGCGGGCGGTAGGCGCACATGTGCGAGTCGCCAGCTGAGACTGTTGATGACGACGCTCGTCTTCTTCGCCGCGAGAGGAGAGAAACGTTGTGCTGACCTTTGGAATGCTCACTGCCCCGCGGGACCGCCGGTATCATGGTCGAGTTGACATTGTCAAAAAGGATTTGGTGTAAGCCTATCATCAAGGTTATTCCCTTATGCTGACGTGCCGATAAGCTTGACTTCTGAAGGGGGCGTTTCTAGGCTCATAGGAATGCAGGTTCACGGTTAGGGGCGATAAAAACCAAGGGCGTCGATCGGGTATAATATTGCTTGCTGGGCGACAGGACACTACCCAAGGGGACCAAGGGAAACATCGGTAGACAGTAATTGGCGTCAAGGGCGGGACTGAAGAAAGTGAGGGAAATGTCTCGGGTTTTGTAAAGAATGGCGATGGACCACATGCGCGACTTTGTCGTGCGACGCGTACTTACAACGGGTTGTGGGCGGTAATCGTGAGCAATACTCATAAGGTGACGAAGCCTCGTTCGGTTGACCCATGTCGTTGCGTAATCACAGACATTGGGTATAGATTCCGTGAAGTTCATTGCTCTGGGCTGGTGAATCGTCACGCTTGCGTTTGTCGCAAGGGATGAACAGGACGTGGTGGACTCCGACTAATGATATGACCACCATTACACTGGACCCCTGACCGAAGCCACGCGAGAATAACAACCGCAGTTGTGTGGAGTCTATCCGCTGCTGTGGGATATACGTGTTTCGAAACATTTTCTGGGGAATGCTGGGAACATGTGTGGGTAACCTCGAAACAGAGTTCGGATCGGGAGAAAAGATCGACATTAACAGCGACCCATTTGCGCGGCGTCATGGAACAATGTGCCCCGTCCGGCGAGGGTTATCCGAGGGGAACGGGTATCACGCAATCTGCGGCTCGATTAACGTTTGAGGAGTCAAGACTTGCGGCTCAAATTCGCATAGAATCTGTGTAGATCCTCTTGACCTGGGAACTGGACCCAAAGAACTTGATGAAGAAAAGAAGTAATGCGTAAGGCTAGGGATAAGCAATAAATGCTCAGTTGCCCTCTCCTTTCAAGACTCAATTGTGTAAAACATGGCTCGCGAATAAGTAAATGAGGCGGGTCAGAGACATGTCGTCCGGGACTGATGAATACTTCTTGTCATCACGGCTGTCTTGTCTCACTCAATGAGCGCCACGTCTCAAGCATCGACAGCTGTCGAATTCGATGACACCTCAATGCTCATCCATCAGCGATCGTAAAGTCATCAGGCAGTGTCTCGCGAAGTAAGGACGAATTAGTCTTAATTATTACACATGAATGTGAATATCATAACAGTGATAGACTAGTGCCAGTCAGAGCTGGTCGTCATGTCTCCCATCAAACCGGTCATAAACATTTTCCCTTCGTAATAAATCGCTCCAAACCACCAGGCCCTTCAAGTGTCGTCCGCTTTCCAAGGCTCATACGTGCCGCAGGCGAAAGTACGATCAAGGCTACAAGCAGGGTCCCGAAGAGATCGAATGAATGAGTGATCAAGTCCATTGAATTCGTAATCGAGGAGATCTCTGCGAGATCCGAAGGAGACGGCGGCGGTGACCGTACGTTCCTATACAAGCTCGACTAGGGCCTCCTCCTACAGCCTCGTGCCTTTTACCTTCCTCAACATTGAGCCTCGAGAAACAGATGAATGGTCTTTCTCATCCCCTCAAACTTTCCATCTCCACGTCGAACGAGATGTTTACAAGTCTGTAACAAGTTAGCATCTTGAAAACTTTGACTAGTTGGAGTATATGGCAAGAACTCACCCTCGCAGTAGTCGACAGTGGTGGTGACAGTGACGGTAGGCTTGGGCGCAGTGGTGGTGACAGCGGTGATGCCCCAGCAAGAGCAGGCGGAGGAGTAGGCAGCAGAGTCACCACATGAGGAGGCGTAGGCGGGGATGAGGGTGGGGAGAGCGGTGACCTGGCGGTTGGCGATCTCGCCGTTGCGGCGGAGACGAGCGGGAGCGGCAGTGACGGTAACAGTGACGGTGCTGGATGAAGAGAGTCAGTCTATAAGGAATCACCAAGGTATTATACTGATGGAGAGGTCGACATACGTAGGGGAGGGGGTGACGGTGGCCTGCATGAAGGAAGAGCAGTCGGCCTGGCGGGAGGTGATGGGGAGGAGGCCGTCACGGGTACCGGTGACCTGACGGTTGCAGTTGTTGCCGGCACAGGCGCGCTTCTCGACGACGGAGCCGAGAGCCAAGCTGACGAGGGAGAAGATGACGGCGGCCTTCATTTTGACGGTTGGAGGAGACGATCGACTGAGGTCCTAAGAGATGGATGGGAGTTGATTGGATGGATCTGGTAGGAAGTCGGTGGATGAGGAAAGGGGAAAGGAGGGAGGCAAAGGGAACGGTTACATGGAGACGAAGGCACCGTGATATATATCCGTGAGATGCGGGATGGGACCTCGAGTGGTGTTGGGACTTAGTGGTGGACTGGTTCGAATTGGACTGGGGGAACCGGGTCCCTTGCTCCTCGCAGACGGGGACTAACAGAACTGGGACGCAGATGCGAGCAAGTTTGGTACGAAGTACAGCAAACAGCTGGCCAGCCGGCTGGTTCAATACGAACCGCAGCAGCAGCCACAAGAATAGCGGAGTTCACCCGCCCATTCTGAGCAGCGCCCAGAAGAGGCGGCGATAGGAAGGGCGGGTCATCGACCGGGACCTGGGATGAACCGACAGGGGTGGGAGAGTGGTTATTCCAAGAGCCACGGGCAGCAAGCATCGTGGGTTTACCAAAGAGACATATTGGAGAGCTAGGCTCCCCCGGTACAGTGACACCCTGTTCCTGAGCACTAGACAGGACCAGGGGTCGAAAGAGGGGGAGCCTGTAGGGAAACATGGAAAAGCGAGGAAGAAGCGAACCGCAGTAGCTCCAGCCCGTTCAGCCCATCTCCTGGAGAAGGTTGCAATTCCCACCTATCAGCAGGCTGGACATCCGCATGAGGCAGGTTGGGAGAAAGTGTGGGCAGGCGGCGAACAGCAGGAACATGAAAAGATGCGCATCGTAGGTGAAGCGTGCGAAGTAGCGCAGTGTATCCGCAGCAAAGGTTGGCCCATGAGGATGGGGCCGAGACTGGGAGGAGAGGTACCTCTTAGCTGACGAGCGAGGCCGAGAGTGACATTTGATTTCAAGGGCACGAAGGGCTAGTATTCCGATGAGAAACAAAACGCGTGTGTTCTTCCGCCCTCGTGGGAAGCTCGAGATTGATTTTCCAACGCCCCCTTGCCCACGCTATTACGGCGGGGGAAGCTGGTCTGATTCGGCCTAGCCCTAGTATTGACGTCGGGAATTCCTGGAGAGCCTATGAATGATGCCCGGGGGCGACGCCGGTTGCTTCGCCGAGAGACAAAGGGCGAGGATCACATTCTGGTTTGACTTCGCGGCCGGATACAAGGGAGGTTATCTGGAGGGTCATGTTGGGCAAACGGCTCGACTCTCATGAACGCTATCGAAATCTGCACAACGCGCGGCTTGGCTGGTGGGCTTCCGTGACCGGCTTGCAATTGGTAGTGACGGCACAGCGAGAGTCAGCTTGTGGCTGTTGTCTCTGCTATTCTGGCGTCGTAGAAGAATTCAAGGCGTCCTCAGCTATGTCGTAGATTTGGGGCGGCAGCGGGCGGTGGAAGCACAAGGGGCGGAGGCGATTGGCAGGAAGACGCCGAGGTGTGACGGTACGGATACCTAGACCACCCGTTCAGGCGCGAGTTTGACTTTGCTGTACGGCTACAAAGCACTATGGCTGCAGGCAAACAACACAAGAGAAGTCCGACCAGTCATCGAGCTGTTTCTTGCTTCGAACTTCTCAGTCTGCCAGTGCTTGGGGGAGCTGACCAGACTACTGGGATTACAGAAGCAACGCGTTGTTGGAAGCATTTTTGATCATCCGTCAATAGCTTATCCTAGCAACGTATTGATAAGTGAACTGTTGGATGGTAAGGCCGGGGAAGAAGCATAGATCTGGACTGCCGTGCCTCAATTTATCACCGTCTCGGAACTGGCTCGAGTCTGCACAGGAAGAGTAGACTTGAACGGCTGTCGGCAGGGTGCAGCGTCACAGCCTCCGGCAGGGTGTGTATTCGTACAGCGCGGGGAAATTCGATATGCAGAAGGGAAATGAGGAGAAGCAAAGCAAAGAGACGGTAAGTATAGGTATGCAGGCAAGGTCATGGGAGTTACATGGGCTCTATAAGTTGAATGTTGATGACGGGATGGGGAGCGAAAGCAAAGTCAAGAGCGAAGAAAAGTGCAGCGAGAAAGGAAAAAGGAAGAGCCCAAGTTTGGATAGGAATCGTTAGCGGCAGGGAACCCGCCAATTGGAACACATCGCTAAAGGGCCGCGCCGCCGACCTGCATTGGCGATGATGTTGTCGGTGATGATCCGATGCGACCCTCGGCCACCATCTCGCTCTTTTTCTCTCTTCAAACCGCACATTGGCCTCCATGAGGAACAATGTAAGTCATGGATAATTTCGTTGGCACAAAGATCTCATAACCTGCATTCGGTTAGAAGTTTTGAGACTCTTCAAAGGCTCTTGGTCTCAATCGGTAGTTGACTGGAGATAGGCCAACCAACCCAAGGAACGAATGATTTAACCTCACCCGCGCGGTACAAGCTCTTCAGCCCGGAAAATTCGTTCTCGTGTACAAAGTATCATTAGGCGATTACCTAGACCTGCCAACCGCCCTGCCCATCAGCCCATGGAGTGGAGGGGGGATGTTCCCCTCCCGATAGCCGGAGATGGCCATGCAATTGGGGGAGAACGGAAAGGGCACTCCTTGAAGCTTTTATGCTTATGAGCTGTGCTTGCGCACAACCCACCTCAAGGGTCCGCCGCCCGCTGTCGGGTGGTCCACCGTCCAGTCGGCGCAGGACAGAGCTATCGAAAGCATCAGCGTCGCAAGCCGAGACCCATGACAGCAAACACACTGTACCACCCCCCGTCCGCCATGCGACGGTTGTCAAGGTGTTCACCTGGGAAAAAAGCCTGGCAAAAACCCAGAATAGAGGTTGGCAGCGCCGTAGCTCCCTTGCGCTGTAACCCTGACCCCGTCTCTGTTGGCAGCCTCTGCTGACCGACCAACAGCGCAAATTACGGTGTCACCGTCAACGTCCGCTGTTAATGGTATTGAGACTGGCTCAGGCCTTCAGGTTATCGAGAGACACTATCAGGACGGAGACGATTGACCAAAATGTCTGTGCCTAAACACACCAAGAGTGCTCGTCAACCTGGTCGGCGCCATTCCCGAGCCGGAGGCTGGCTATCAGCAACGGATACAGCATAGGCTCCCACTCTTCCCAACGGCCAAACGGCGCCAGGAACGCGCCGCTCGATCTCATCGGCGCTGGCCGTTGGGACAAGGTAAATTCAACTTCCCTCTTTGCCTACTATCACCGCCAATCCTCCTCTATCATCAACAGATAGTCAGATACCAAGCCGGCACACCTCGAGTCATCGGCTGGGCCCTCCAACGACAACTACTCCTACGCAGTAGAGAGCGAGAAGCGGCGAGAGCCAAAAAGCTAATTTACAAGGGGAATCCCCCCATACGAGCAAGCCCGCTTCACCGAAAGAGGCAGCTGGAGCAACTGGGGGGCGTGCCCAGAAGCGTGGGTGGAGGTTGGTTTGTTGGTCTCGCGCCGGCTGGGGCCTTTTGCTGGACTAAGCTTCCCAATTTCCACCGTTCCCGAGTTTTTCTTCTCTTTTTCCTTTCGAGCTTTTTAAGCATCATTATCTTTCCTTACTTTGCAAGGAAGGCCGTTGATGTTGTTTTGATTGACCTCCCTTCTGGAGTGGCACGTGGCGACGGCGTGGAAGTCTCCTTCAAGAACTTTTACATTGATTCACACCTGCTTAGCCGATGACTTGAGTTCGAATAGTTCAGGATTGAGTATTTAGGCTCTCATCCTCCTCTCCAGTCGCCACTCGATCTTCTCTCTCCCCTGGCCCAACTCCATCAATAAGGCTAGTCCCCATCGGCGCATCATTCCCGTTTACAGCCTAAGGCCAAGTAAGAAGCCCACCCGTCCCATCTTCGGCCCGCCGAGCTGCGAAAAGTTCAGAGACAAAGAGTCGAAGAGATGGGAAAGCTGTAGCCAACTTTTCCAGTCGTTCAGGGCACATGTACACCTCCCAGCCGCTGAACCAGGCTCTAATAGCACGTGTAGACCATGGTATGTGACAAACCTCCGCCAGCCCAGGAAGCGAGGTGGGCTCCTCTCGGTGAATGGAATAGTCCAGCAACTTGGCGGACACAAGCACGTTGTTGCTATCGCAAAGCTCACTGCTCTGTTCACCGTTGGCCGCCATTACCCCTGCTCCTCCCATCCCCCAGGTTTAAATCCTACGAAAGATACGCGTGTGTCTTGGGAGATTGCTTGAGACACCTTCCTAGTCTTGATTATGCTCTAGCTTGCGCTCCTCCAGATGTCAAAACTCTGAACACATGTTGGCTCCTCGGGACTGCACGTACAAACAGTGAAAATTCTCTACCCTCAAGTCGAGATACACAAGGCCATGGGCAACGCCTTATGGTTGAGCAACGCTACGGGCCAAGTTGAAGTGTTCTCCTTTGACTTAGAATTCTTAATCAATACCTGGAAACTCAGTTCAGGAGACATGAGTCCAGGTAGCCAATCCATCAATACCGACACCGGCCTCGAGTTCATCTGCCTTGCACAAGGGTCAAATGCATCCAACAAGAAGCACGCCGTTCCTCCTAGTAAACAAGCTCACTTTATCCGGCCGTGATCTTCATCTCCCATCTCTTCCAAGTTTTCCTTCCTTCCCCTCGCAAGCTTCCCCAGGATATTTCTTCGGACATCAAATCTCCGCGAAGCAAAATCGTGCCCTCTCTTGCCATCCCCAGCTTCTTTTCCCCGCCCATCACCGCTGTTCCCCCAGCCCTCGAACCACAAAGCATGCCCCTCCCCCGCACCGTCTCTCCTCAGTGACAGGTATCTACCCATCTTGCTATCCCCGGTGCGGACTAACGCCTCGTCTGAGCAACGTGCGTCTTCCTCCAAGGATTGATCAAGGCCGCATCTGATTGACGGAGGAGTCTGTCCCGAGGTCTAGTCTCCTTCTCGGCCTCTTGCTTCGACTCCAAATCCACGGTCCGCGGAAGAAATTATGTATCCATAGATTCTTGTTCAATGAAGTTGTTGGGGCTCCGTTCGAGATCCCGAGGAGCCGACATGCTGTCACCCACGGGAGAGCCGCCTCCCCATATTCACCTCCTCCCCTCTACCCTCCGCATGCCAGACCCAGAAGCGACTCTCAAGCGAGTTTGTCGTTGTCCCGACAAGCAGGATGATGGGGTACCATCTCATCAGATATGATCGACAGCATGTATAGTGGGAGGGAACCATGTATTGTCAGGCAAGCCTCGCGTTCGGTTCGGCCCAAGCTGTCTACCTACTCATTGGGAAATGTAACTTCTCTCCCCTCTTCCGACGAGCCTCCGGTCTCGCTATGATGCTACCCCGAAGGAGATCGGTTTTGACGACTATCCTCCGTATGAGATTCTCATAACCCCGCAGATAAAGTCGGGGCCGCGGGTCCTACATATCAGTCTAGTATCACGTCGTTGTTCTTCATCTTTCACGTTGGTGTCGTTCAGGTATGAGAGGCACAGGCGCTCGCGTTCATGATACCGTAGACGGACAATGCCTCGTCTGGTCTACTCCTAGCTTCCTACTCTGAAGAATCAAGGCAAAGGCAAAAGCGAAAGCAAAAGCAAGACATGATGACATAGCCTATCGTTGAAGAAAGGAACCGAACCTCTGCAGCTCATACCGACATCGCAAACTCTTGCCTCACCGCTCATCGAGGGGTTCACTTCCGCATTCAGAACGTGTGAAAAGCGAGGCATCCGGAGCATTCAGTGCGGGTTTGCAAAGTAAGAAAAAAAAAGGTATCATGTATTGTGACTTGGGACAAACAAGACCAAACACTTTGCGCCAGAGTAAGCCCGCCCTTGCCGCAATTTTCTGCGGTGAGGTGCTCACCAGTCGGCATCAGAGTCCCTTGCCGTTAGAAACGCCATCCGCTCTCTATATCGTATTTCTCAATCCTGAGCGGTCAACGACCATCCCCATCTCCCTCGTGCCGCGTCCACCGGGAGGACTTCCTGTTCCCAACCGTCCGTGACTGAAAATCAACCACTTCTATCCCCAAAGAAGTATGAGGGACTGCCTTTCCTAGTGATTAGAATGCCTCTTCGGTAATGCCCATGGAGGCCCATTAGGTCAGCCAGGACATCATAACTACATAATGATTGTCCGGACCGACAGAAAGATCAAGGATCCAAAGAAGAGATGCAAGCTTCCACGGCCTTGCAGCGTCAGAGAGCATCGTCTGGTGTCTGGCTTCCAACTCCAAACCTTGGGTTAGCTCGAAAGCCATGCTGTGACTGACTCCGTAGTCTTGCGACGGCATGTGGTCGAAGCGAAGTATAGTCATAGGAAAGCTATGCACTGAACGCAGCTTTACTTCCCATTCGACGTCTGACCATTCGCTCGATCCGTCGGGCCATAGTGGCCGATGAGCTCTGAAGCCTCATTCACGACACTGAGCCCAGCTGGGGCAGAGCTGTCACTCCTCGTTCTGCCGTGGCCTCCCTCACTGCTCCTTCGCCGCTGATGGACCGCAGGTGGCCGGCTCATGCCCGATAGCCCGCTCCCTGACCGGCGACGCGTATCTGCCACGGCGTCTGGGACGGGAGAAGCGGCCAACTCCGGCACATATGGCGTCGAGTCGAGTTCTTGGAGTGGCGTCCGAGTACCCGCACTGCCGTGGTCGCTGCTTGCTTCGCTGGCGTTGCTCCAATGGCGAAGATGCGCGTAGGTTCCTTGTGAATCCGTGCTTCCGCGATGGAGTCCGACCCACGCGCTCGATCCCTGGCTTGCGCGCTGACTCCTGTCTGGCGCCACGTCGAAGTAGCCTCCTGTATATGCTGAGTCGTAGCTAGCGTGTCGATCGGACCCTGACCCTTGCGGTACTGCCTGATAGTCACCACCGGACCCCGGCGTGCCGCGATATGGAGGTGTGAAGTCGGCAGTCGTATCGGAATCATATCTGCGGTGTGATGGCCGAGGAGACATCATGAGCGGGTCTATGCTCAAATCATCAACCTCTGATGGTGTTGGCTTGAACTCATACATCGAAGGGCGTGACTTAGCCCCTGAAGAGGTTCCCTTGTTGCTCGTCTCGACTGCCTGGACAACCTTGTTGAGGTGCCGAATGATGATCCACGCAGTCACCAGCACAATGATGAGCAGGCCAACTCCTCCAGCCACGATACCCGCGATTTGCCCCGAAGTCAATCCATCACTGTTGCCATCGCCGCTCGAGATAGGTTGCTCTTTTGGAACAGTGCTCGGATAGTACTTGAACACAACTTGGTCCGGGTCGCTCGCCCCTGTTGCTACTATTGGCGCCGTGGTAGGTCTTGAGGGAGTTAGAACAGCAGTTGCGGTTACAGTCGTGGTTATCGCCTGCGCGGCGTCATTCGTCGTTGTAATCGTCGTCGTCTCCGTGACAGTTGAGGGCTCCGTCGAGTAGCAAGCGCTTACGGCGCAGCCCAGTCCGTCTCGACAGCAGCCGTAGCTCAAGCTAGCTGGGCATAAGTAGTAACTCGCCGGACACGACTGAGAGTATATGACTCCAGACGCTGGAACGCAATTTGAGCCTCTTTGACACTGGTATCCTTCTGGGCAACAGCCGCCTGGGCAAAGTGTGTCAGCTCACGATTCCGAGACAGGTACTGGGAACCAAATCAACTCACCACCCAAAACCGTGTTACATTGGTAATATCCAGGTTTTCCTGCGCAAGTCTGCGCTGCACTTGTGGTCGCATAGCAAGAATCCGTCGCGCATGCATAGCCTGAAGCGCAACACCCTCCATCCAAGCTTGACGGGCAAGCAGAGTATCCGGTCGCACAAGTCGTTGTGCCCCTTCGATTGAGGTCGTGAAAGACCGTGACGTGTGCCTTCTCAAGGCGGTGCACCCCATCTCGTCTCTTGAATTCCGCCCCCTCGACTGCCCTGACCAGCAAGTCAACCCCCAAGTACAGCACGCAAAGCGAGCAAGCTGTCGCCCTCATGGTGGTGGCGGTGATCGAATGAATAAGCACAACCGTTGAGCAGTGCAACTGGATTACGGGATTCGCCAATCATCTAAGATCCTTCGGATCAGCGACCGTTTTGTCGAGAGTCTCGAGCGTGGTTAATCGAACGAAGGACAGCGCAAGGTTCTTGAGAGATCGGCGGCGGTGCAAGGAGTGTTTGGAAGATCTTTCGACTCGAGTAATTTGAAGAGCCGGCCGGGTCGTTTGTGATGAGGGTAAGTTATGCTGTTGCCTTGAGGCGTGAGGAGGATCGAGATGACCCAACCGCAGGTGTGTCTCCGGGGGGCTGAGCGGGTGTGTACAGCACAGCACCGAACCACAAGCAGTCACACCCCACGATATAATAATCGGCGATCGGGGGCACAGCAGTAGGGCTGAGGGACGACGAAGACGGAGAAGTGATTGAATAAAGCGCGTGTCGTTCACTTGAAACCCCGTCGGCCGTATAGCTCGCGCTGGCAGCGTCAAGTTGAACTCGATACCGCGCGTGCGTGTCTGTCTTCTTTTCGCTACGTATGATCGACCCGACAGCGGGTGGATGCAGATGAAGATGGAAGAGAAGAGGGCGATCATGGACTGTTTGGGAGGGGAATGGACGGATTCCTAGACTGCGGGCATGTGTGACGGGAGGGCCTTGGCTCGCAGCTGGCTCCACGGGGGCATCTCTGGGATGATGGGATTTCTAAAGTGGCTTTTTGGTCAGAGTGTCAGCACTCTGGACAACGGGCTTGCCCATAATAGGAGAAACGAGGGGTGATATTCTCCCAATAGGAAGTGTGTAAAATGCAGTCCCAGCCTCTGGTAAGCCACGATAGCACCATGGAGGAAGACCAAGGTGGAGGGGTATTTGAGAAATGGCACTTTGTCTGGTTGCTCTCGATCACCGCCACTGCTGCGAGTATGCTGGGCGCGACTGGTCTCAGACTCGAGGAGCGAATAGAAACGAAGCAGCTGACGACCTGGTCGGACATTGTATGCGGTGATGCGGCACGACAATGCCTGTCTTACCGTCCAGAGTGGGCATCGTGTGGTGAGAATGTCGAAGGCCACCAATAAGATGAAGGCGTGAGCTGCAAGTCAACGACAAGCAGCCAACAGGAGTGGCAGCTCGAAGGAAAACATGCTGGGAAGCAAGCATGCAGAGCGGCGGCTCGTCGCTGGAAGACCCGGGACGTAGATGCGAGTGGGCAGCTTGTTGGCGATGCACATATCTGGGCTTGCTGTCTGCAATGTTTTCCGTCCTTGGTCGTCTTTGGGGGCTGTCTCCAAGAGAATGCGACACTGAACCACCACCAGCGCTTCCATAGCCAACGACAAACATCATCGGACGATGGTTTTTACGTCCGCAGCGACGCGCATTCATACAGCTGCTTCTCTCCTGCGGTCCGGACTTCTGGGGACGGCATATGCAGATATCCCACAGTATCTATTTGTGAAGACAAGATGTCCAGTGAGGCTAATCATCACTCGATGAAACCTACATGTCGTCGAAGCCCTGGCTAGACATGGCCTACACAATGGCCTTCATGAGCGGACCAGCGCCTTTGAAGGAGCTAGTCAATATCCGAGCCACAAGGATGGCTGCATATCCCAGGAAACAGAAGCAAGACATCGATTTGGGGCCCCATGTTGATGCTTGCAGGTTCCCCATGTCTCACGAAACAACGGCACCCCGTGCGTCAACCGGGCCTACGAAGCAAGGCCAAGGCCGTGAGAGAGTCTGGTGAAGAAGACCTTCCATTGTAAACTTGCACTAAAGTCGAAGTTCTTTGATACACTCTTGTCTCGACTCTTGAAGGGCGAGCTGCGATCTCTCATGGCAAAGCGGCGGATGAAGTCGACGTTGTCTGGCACGGACCTCGCGTCTGGATGATGCAGAGTATGGGATGAAAAAAGAAAGTTGCAAACAAGCGAACCATCCACTCGGATCTAGTTTGGTCATCAGATGAAAATTTGAGAATTGAGAGGTGTGCTGTTGTTCGACCAGAAGCCTACCGAGTATTCAGAGAGGAACCTAAGCGGACTCGCCAACTACCTGACGGCTTGAATCTAATGGCAGGAAGACTATCCGTATCTGGCTTGAGGAAACACTATGAAAACCAAGGCAGCAGATGAATACCTGATGCTCGGTGAGCTTCTCTGAGCTATCGATGAAACTGAGAGACACTGAGATTCGGAATGGTGTTTTGTTTGCTCCTCGCGGCAACAAGATGCAGAAGGCAAGCTGCTTGGCTTGAGTTCTTCCAAGAAGGCACGCGCCCGACGGCAGAGTCTTGGTGCCGGAAGAGGTACGTACTTGTCGACTATTTATAAGTCACCTCAGGCACAACGGCATGGCAGCGGCAGCGGTGGAGAATGGAAGGAAAGAGGGAAAGCCCATCATTGCCAATCCCATGGACTAAGGTACGGAGTATTGCCAGTGACCCAAGTCCCAAGGGCAGGAATATAAACTGCGTGCCTGCCTGCACTGAGGGTAGAAGGGGGAGAAGATCGGCGTGATCACCGATGGAAACGAGCGAGGGAGGCGTGGACACGGCGTGGGAGCGGCAGGCACACAGCAAAAGGTGTAACTTAGCCGACCGTACCTGCCTCGATCTGGATAGTCTTTTGCCTGAGGCACACAGAGTGAGGTACGAAGTACTGATGAATGGACACCCAAAGAGCGGAAAGAGCAGACACGCCGCAAAAATGCAGGTGCGGACTTCCCGTCCACGTGTGCTTCCCGTTTCCCGTGTCCTGCCCGTAGGTATTCAAAGAATTGCTCGCACTTTCCTCAAAGTTTGATCTTCGTACGCCTGTAGTGCTCATTGGTTCGTTGGTGTGTTGGTGGGAGGCAGCAAGAGCAGGAGCGAGTATGGGGCAACCATGCCGTGCTTGCCTCCCATCACCAGTCTTCACGGTTCACCAGACTTCCATGCAGCCTTAGGCAGGACATGGTTGGATTCCCAGGACCTGCGGAATTGTAGATTCTCCCGTCCTTGGGCAAGACAAATCTAGGAATAACACTTCTCCTTCCCTTACCTAACAAGGACCAAGATCCAGCCCTTGGCGAGGAACGACGACTCCACAGCAATATCGACGGAAGAATGGCGAAAAAGAGGGCAGAACTTTTGCTCTTTGCTTAGTCCCAGGCCCCAATGCGATTGGACAGCGCCAGGGAAACACCGTCGGCGGGAACCTCTCCTTGTCAGTGGGCTCGTGGAGTCGAATCGTCCGCCTGAGGTGGGCTCTGGTCCCTTGAAGTTCCTTTATGACCCGCCGCCCAGTCCTCGTCTCCATTCACGCTGGATGCTCCCGCCGGTTGCCCGCAGCCCGACACTTCCTTCAAGAGTCCCCAGAATATCGACAGGACGCTCCGCTGATCAACCGCTACAAGTTCTGCTTTGGGAGACCTTCCCCGGATTCGTCTCATCTTTTGTCTTCGCTTCTGTCTTCGCTTCTGTCTTTCATCAGAAAGACAAGCGAAACTTTGCCCTGTGCTTGGTCTGTACCTCAGTGCCGTCAATACCTGGCAGGGCATGGGCAATGGCAACTATTTACGAATCCACGGGGGTCTCTAAGAATGCGATACTTTAGGTGCCAGCTTTCCCCAAGTCGCAGCCACCCGAGCAGCTCAAAGTACATGCTACTACCGTTCCTTTTGAGACTTACCTTGCAATCTACAAGATACATCTTTGTACAGCCCAAGTACGAGCCTCGACTTTGTGTTCTGTCCAGCTGAGGCAGACAAAACACCCAGAAAGATCGCCTTGACCGCTCAAGTCGCTTCCCTCACCGGCAACCCCCTCATCCTGCCACTAACAAGCGTCGCAACCCGCACCCAGGATCCCGTCAGCCCGCCTCTCCTCCGTCACCTACCGCCTAGCACCAATCTCATCCTGCGCCGTGTGGTAGCATCGGAGACACGAGGCCAATCTAGGACTCTGGGTCTTACCCAACTGGAAAGGGGCTGGAAGCCATCGAGAACATCGTCACAAACACCTAGTCTGTGTCATCTCCAGACTCCAGGCACGCTACCCCATGGCTTGGACGGATCAACGGTGGTTGAGGGCTCGGAGAATGCGGGGAAGAAAACCTTCTTCATCACTTGGCGGCCTGCCTCTAGGATCATGGGTGTGTGTGGGTGTGTGTGGTTGTGTCTGCGTCTCAACCACAACCTCCCGAGCTAACATGGCGCTTGAGTCGTGTCGTCACAAGCGTGTGCCTGGTCGAATGCTTGCGTTCAGTGAGAAAGAGGCAAAAAGGAGCAGGACCATCGAGGACACATACAGAGCTTGGCACCCACGCATCCACGCACCCTCAGATCGTCCACCTGCATTCAGACCAACTGCCCTCGCTGATTGCCGTCAGGCGCTCGACATCCTAACAAATGGCAATACTCGACAATGTCACAGTCCAAGTCCGACTAACAGGCTGCCAGCCAGTTCATGACCCCTTGCTACACAATAATTACGGCCCGCGGGAAATGAATTAAGCAGTGGCCATCTCGGTTCCGCTGGTAGACTGAAGGACGACACCGCGCAGCGGCGTGGCTCGATTGGTGGATAGGCCAACAAAGTCAAGTGACTCAATGCATTCTTTTCCAACCCAATTAATCAACGCAACCGCAGCCCTGGCGACACTACGGAGACAACCAGTCGTGCCAGTCGTGCCAGTCTCCAATTACAGCACTGCCTTAGGCGGAGCTCAAGTCTGGCTGCCTGGCAAAGAATCAGAGTTCCGAGCCGTCTGAACGACTACGCCATTTAAACTTTGCCGGTTGCTGCAGGGTCCAAATCACAGGTACCGATGGTATTCGTCCACTGACAATCGAAGTTTGTGAGACCTGCAAGGGAGATGCGAACATCACCAGGCCTCAGGCAATAGTGGCAATGCGGATGGGCGACCATTTCGCATCAACAAGTAGGAATGACGTTTCTGGCTCGCTACCGGAAGGAATGCGGCAGAAGCCTGCAGAGCCGTTCACGAGCCGGAACAGTTGTGGTAGGTTCAGCGACTAGCCGGAGCTTAGAAGCAGCAGAAGCGTCTCCTTAGCTTCGTTTCTAGCTGGGATGACCGTATACGAACTTTGCAAAGAACGCTATGCCGCGCCACCTTCTCATTCTGTTCTATTTCTGCCCTATTCGGCTTGCGGTGGTTGACAAAGCACGCGCTTCTGGCAGCTGGCATCGGACATTGACACACTGGCAATCAAGTCCCGGGGGCGCGGCATGGCAGCTAGGTATGGCAGATGCCTTGCAGCAACAGGCCAGTCACCATGACGAAGTACCGGACGGGACATTTCATGAGCTGCGTCGGTTCCCTGAGTTCACAAGACGATGGAGAAACAGAACTCGAAGAGGGAAATCGGCAGCATTAGGGTCGACCCGAATCGTCACGGCACAAGATTGCACCTCGTCGTGTTCTGGCTGAGCTCAAGAGAGTACGGATACATGGACGCTACGAGACAGCGCCTCCCGAAGGCTCCCCTGTTCAGATGCCATCCCTCAAGAACACACACATTAACAAATAATTACCAACCAGCATCTACCCTGTCATGGGGCAGCCCCCCTTTACTCCAACATCCAGACAGGTCGCCGTACCTACATTGCTCTTAGGCGTTGCTCTCGCTCACACCTCGCAGGGAAACCCTTCCTCACGGCTACCAGTGACCACACACACACACACACACACATACCCAGATAGAAAGAGAATCACCTTTACATCTGCCACCAACGGGGAACAAGCACAGACACCGGTGCACCACCATCGAGACTGGACTGGAGCCAACGGGCTGCAGACATGTCGACCGAGATTGTGACACCCATCTCCGCACCAAGAATCGCCGCTGTAACCCCGCAAATTTCTCCACCTTTCTGCTTCTAGCACATCTTAGTCTCCCAGGATCTCTTGGTCACGATGTGCGTGATGGCAGCGGTCTTGTCAGCATTGGGAAGGACGCCGCCATCGCCGGCTCTTGGGCTGCGGGCCTTGGGTACTCGCTCGGTACGCCAACGCGACTTGGGATTCGACATTGACCTTGGTCCATTTTGGTGGCTTTTGGGGATGGGCAGGCTTTGTTGGAGAAAAAATCGCCAAAACGCCTGGCTGAACGAGCCTCTTTGCCCATTTGCCTCTTGAAGGTTCTCGCCGTCTCGGATTCTGCCTCCTTTCTTTCAGTGGTATTTGAGCTGGCTCGCACCCGACATCTCACTTGACTCGCACGAGTGCTCCTTCGACTCTTCTTCTCCCCTTTCTCCGCCCTCTCCAAGTTCCCCATATCTCGCCGTTCTGCTACAGTCTCCAGAGGCACCGTCTCCATTCCCCATCCCCCACGCCCTAAGA